CAGCAGCGACCCGACCCGTTAATCAAAACTCTTTCAGTACCATTGTTCAACGGCTGTGACCGAGTCTCCTGCTGTGACCCAGCGCGTGCTCTTTCCACAAGAGTATCAGGGGTTACCGTGCTTACCTTGGGAAGGGGTGTGAGATGGAGTAGGAGCCAAGAAGCACTTTCTATCTGCTTGATTTGGATGGGAATGTGTTCATGAATTACTTGTATAATGAAAATTATCTCTTTAAAATAATATTTTTCAAGAGAAAATAATTGGTTTATACGAAAAAATAAGACATCCAATGCCTTGCCCAAATCAAGACACATAATACCCACAGCATACCCCTAACCTCGTAGCTCAATCTAGTCATTGTAAAAAGGGAAACTAAAAAAAGAAACCTCATATGAGCTTACCAAGGGTTCAACGATATGTTTTAAAAATTCCTTCCACACATTTTACCACAGATGTGGTTTCTGAAATGCAGTACCTTATCTCTGGCTTCGAAAAGCAGCCTGAGTTGCCTGATTTACTTTCGAGCACCGCAGCCAGTGCCCGGGGTCTTAAAGACGGCCACAGTGGCCTCCAGCTCACCTCTGCAAGGTCCCCCCGCCGCCCCACCCAGGGCCCGGTGCATCTGGGCCAGAAGAAGCCGTCTTTTCCCTGATGGAGAAGACAGATGGCAGCCAGGACATCTGTTCTGCTTTCCTGATGTTGTGTTAGTGTTACACCTCCATCGATGAGCAGGAGGCCTATTTACTTCTTGTTCTGAACGTTGCTAAAACATAAAATCCACCTTTAGTGTCTTTTGCAAGCCTCAGACCATTCTGGACTTCATCTTCCATAGCTCTCCTAAAGGGGAGCCATAGGAATCTGCACCCCTTCTTTCTATTGCTTTTATTCATCTTTCAAAATCTGAGCTTATGATAAAGTTCCCAGTGCAGTTGCACTTGAAAAAAGTGACTATCTTATATTTCCTTTTGGAACGTCAATAGCTAAGTTTCCTTAGGTTAGGTGCAGTATAAGACCCCAGTAAGTCATATTATATTGTATTTATTTATTTATCCTCATCTGAGGGCATTTTTTCACTGCTTTTAGAGAGAAAGGACAGGCAGGGAAGAGGGAAAGAGGGAAGGAGGGAGGGGGAGAGAGAGTGACATCGATGTGAGAGAGAAACATCGACTTGGTTGCCTTCTCATATGCGCCCCAACTGGGGATCAACCCGCAACCTGTGTATGTGCCCTGATCAGGAATCGAACCAGTGAGCCTTCAGTCTACAGGATGATGCGCCAACCAACTGAGCCTCACCGGCCAGGGCAATAAGTCATATTATAAGCAGGGCAATGTTAGAGATGTATACAGGTTTTATGGGAGCACAGAGGATTCAGCACTTCATTGATTTTTTAAAAAAGAGAAGAAAAAAGCCATGTATTTGTCTTACCTCATCAAGATCTTTGGTCTCTCTGCCCAATTCATCATCATCTTCATCAGAATCTAGCTCTGGTCCAATATAATTCCCAAACTCATCATACAAGTCGGTATCCATGATGCTAAAATTCAAGAAGAGGCGTTAGATTCTGGCATGGTAATCAAGGCCTCCACGATATGGCCCCCCCCGTCTAGGCTCACAGCCGACCACACCCCTTCACACATCACCCCTTCAATTACACCAACCCCCTGACTGCTCCCCCAAAGCCCTGGCTTTCCCCTCCTCTCTCTCCTACTCATTGTCTCTGTTTACATACTCTTCTTTTTGTAATACTAAAAAAAAAATTAAAATGACTTAATACCAGAAGGTTTCAAAAATAGTACAAATAACTTTCTTTTTCCTGAATTATTTGAATATAAATTGCTGACACAGTGCCTCATCACTACCTAAGACTTCAGCGTAGGGGGTGGCACGCTGCAGCCTCCGGCCAAATATCTGGCCTGCTGCCCGGTTTTACGCAGTCCTCAAGCTCAGAATGCCTTTTACACTTTCCGAGAGTTGAAAAATCGAAAGAATGCTATTTGATGATGTATGAAAATTATATGAAATTCAAAGTCCAATGTCTATAAAAACTGCTATATTGAAACACATTCACGCTTATTCATTTATATTGTCTATGGCTGCTTTCACACTGTAACAGCAGAGTTGAGTAGCTGCAACTGAGCCCATATGGCCCAGAAAGCCTAAAATATTTACTACAGAGAAGGTTTGCCAACTATTGCTTTAGTGTGTGTGACTCCTACAAATAAGGACATTTCCCTATATAACCACAATACTACCATTAAAATCAGAAAATCAGACACATTATCTCCACCTAATCCACAGACCCCAAATTTCACAAACTGTTCTAATAATGTCCCGCACAGCAAAAGATCCAACCCAGGACTGCACGTTTGCATATAGCTGCCACGTCTTTAGTCTCTTTCACTCGGAACAGTTCCTCAGTCTTTCCTTGACTTTTATGACTTGATACTTTTGAAGATTACAGGCTAGTGAGTTTGTAGAATGTCCCTTAACTTAGGTTTATCTCATGTTTCCTCATGATTAGATTAAGGTTATGCATTTCTGGCGGGAATATCACAGAAGTGATGCTATGTTCTTTTTAGCGCATCTCCTATCAGGTGGTACATGATTTGATTTTTTAAGAGAGAGGAAAAGAAACATCAATATGAGAGAGAAACATCAATTGGTTGCCTCCCATATGCTCATATGCACCCGAACCAGGGATCAAACCCACAACCTAGGTATGCACGCTGACCAGCAATCGAACCTGCAACCCTGTGGTTACAGGACGATGCTCCAACCGAGTCACCCTGGCCAGGGCAGTACATGATTTTAATTTGTCCCATTAGTGGGGATGTTAGCTTAATCACTTGATTACAGTGGTGTCTGCCAGGTGTTTCTATTGTAAAGTTACTTGTTTTCTCTTTGTAGTTAATTATTTTGCAGGTTTTCTCTATTTCAATTACTGAGATTGTACTCATAGAACAGTTCAAATGTCACCTCTTTCAAGCTTTCCAAGAGCCTCAATTTCTCATTTCCCCAGGCTGCTAAGGTCTTCTGCACCCTTATCAGCATTTAACTGTTTTGAATGGCAGATAACTGTACTAATTACGATCACCAATAACTCTATAGCTTACAAGTAATAAACAGCAGACCAGAGCATGGGTTAGGGACCTGGACTCTGGAGTTGGAAGACTTGGATATGAATCCTAACTTTGTCACTTCGTAACTATGAAACTTCAGGTAAGTTACTTCTCTCTAAACCTGTTTCCTCAACTGGAAAATGGAGTGAACAATTTGCATGGCATGAAAGGTTATGAGAATTAAACAAACTAGCCTGTGTGAAGAATTTATCAGAGTCCTAGGCTCAATAAATGTTAGCTACCATTATTTTTTAACCATTCTTGAATACTGGAACTCTGTGTGCCTCGTGTCTACCTGCCAATGCACCTTACATAAGTAGCCACTGTTAAATATTAAGTGAATGGAATGTTTAATTTTGAGACTGTTATTTCTTGCATTAGGTTAATCCTTCTACCTCCCTCAATGCAACCTGTTGAGTGCTGATTGTAGAGAAAATACAGAATTAAGAGCTACACAGACTAGTAACTAATGAGAGATAGACACATCAATTGATCACCTTTTTGTACACACCCCACACAGGGATCAAATCTGCAACCTGGGTAGGTGCCATGACCGGGTCTCAAACCTGCCGCCCTTTGGTCTAAGCGATGATGTTCCAACCAACTGAGCCACACCAGCCAGGGTGGTCCTAACTTTCAATATGCGCAGAGATTCTTTATACTTCCAAAGAACTCACATCTTTGCTCATTTCACTCTCCCAAGATCTACGAAGTGACTGAAGAAATTTTTATACAAGGCTGTTCATGGGACAAACCAAGCTAATTTCTGCTTCAGGGACATTGTACTTGCTATTTTCCTCTGAAATCCTCTTCCTTTGGATTATTTATACCTTGTTCTTTCGTTTCACTCAGGTATCTACAGAAATGTTATGTTTTCTGAGAAACCGTCACTTGTCACTCTAAAAACGTGCCCTCCCCCACTCTCCAACTCCCATGTTCACTGTTTCATTATTATTAACATTTACCGGTATGTGAAATACAGGGTCCGGCACAAATAACCCCGTTTTACTACAAAATCTTTTATTACAAAACCGTGAGCATGTAATTCTGTAATATAATAATATCAGACTCAAACACACTTATGACGTTTTAGGTGAAATGTTCAAATTAAAACTATAAATTATTACACCCGTATTATTACCCTACCAACCACACTCAAGTAGGCATTACTTCTGCGGGACGCTGTATATCTATCCATGTGTTTACTCTCATCTCCCCTACAATTTAAGCAAGGATTCTCTCCCCACACCCTCCTCCCCGCTTAGAATTGTGCCTGGCACAATACAGGGCCTCAATATATATTTGTTGAATGAATGAATAACTCCAACAAGGCACAGAGAAGATAGCTGACTTGTCCACAATTGCACAGAACTAGTACCTTTAGGTACCAAACCTCACTGCAACTTCCCGCTATAATGCAGATTCTCAAAGAAATACAGAATAAGGATAATGGAAGCCTGGCAGAACAGTAAAGACGGCCCAAAGGAGACTAAACAGTGAAAGAATAACCCCTGCCCAAGGAAGGGACTTTACGGATGGACAGCAATGCGGGAATCCAGGGATCCTGGAATGCGTTGGGGGCGGGGGGGCGGCGTCTTTCGTTCCCTTTCCCCCTCCGCATCTCAGTTTACCCACGTGTAAAGTGAAAGAGGCAGATAGCATATAAAGTCTCTCCCAGATCTGAGATCTGACATTACTTAATTTCCCATCCCACCCGGGGCAACTTTCCCATGCCGTTGACCCGTGTCTGCTCAGCTCACCTCCCGCCTGCTCAGCCAAAAGCTCCAAGTAGGCCAACGAAGACCGCGCTTCCGCCCCACGCAGCGGCACCGCCTGCGCCCGGTGTCCGGAAGGACCCCGCAGACGCCGCCGTCGCGTTTCTGCCGCGGAGGACAGCCCTCTGCCCGAGGACCAGCTCGGAAGAATGGCGGCCGCGGACACAAGAACGGCGAGGTGGAGTTGTGGGCCCCCAACCTGAGGAGTGAGCTGCTTCCAAAGTGAGTGAGGCCCGAAGAAGATCGAGTCGGATCAGGCGCCTCGGGACAACACTGAAAGGGGGGGGCCTTCGGGCCGATCACGTGAGCAGGGTGGTGGCGTAGTTGCTAGGCAACAAAAGCCGCTGGCCGTGGTCTACGCAGTGCGGTTCTGTTCCCGAGTTACCTGGGAATCTCAGAAGAAAGCAAGGGAAACTCAAGGGCCAGGCTTGTCGCGGGGCAAGAGGGTTAGTTCTGTTTATTCATAACAGGACGGAAACCAGAACACCTGAGTTCAGTTCCTGGTCACTTTAGCCCTCTTCTTGGTGTTCAGCTTACCTACGTTGGGGTGGAGGGTGAGGGCTACAGGTTTGGTTACAGACATTCTGTTGATGACTCTGCCACAACATCTAGCTCCATGCACAGGAATCTGAGATTCAAAGGGTTCTCACAGCGGGTAAAAACCAGAGCCAAAGCTAGAACCCATGTAGATGATCTTGTAAGAACAGGCCAGTCATCGACAGGCATGCGGAGGCTGCAGAAGTTCAGTGGCATAGCCAAAGAGGTCTCCCAAGTACCTAGGGACCTGTCTTTCAGCCCGGGCTGGGCAGACGAATTTGGGGACGGGGATCATTAAGCCCCTTCCTCTGCCACTTCTACTTGATCTCCTGCTAAATCATTGCATCTGGTTTGGGTGAAAAGTATCCTTTCTCAGTAAAGACATTTAATGACGAATGAAATTTTATCCCTGGGTTCAAGGGTCGCTAACACCAGTTCTGCTTTTATGTGAAGTTCTCCTCTATCACAAGAACTTGCTACGTGGGAAAGTGACGAGACTGAATTCTGAGATCCGAATGTTTCCTAATCTAAAGCACTGATATTAAAATACTTTTTTAGAGACAGAGCAAAAAATTAAGACATGGCTCCATACTGAAAGGCAGGACTCTGTTTTATTTTCGGCGACAACAAATCCTAAGCAAATCCTAAGCAAATCCTTACTGTGTAATTCTATGGAGAACTAGATTTTTGTAACACCCCTCCCAAGATAAGATACAAGATACCCAGAGTGTTTGGTGTCATTTTGTGGGCTAGCAAAGAATCCAAGTGCACTTTCCTTCCTCTGTAACTGACCTTCCACTTGTGTCCATTCCCTTTGCCTTCCCGGGCACAGGCCATGGAAAGAAATGACATCATTGACTTCAAGGCTTTGGAGAAAGAGCTGCAGGCTGCACTCACGGCTGATGAGAAGTACCAGCGGGAGAATGCCGCCAAGTTTCGGGCGGTGGAACAGAGGGTGGCTTCCTATGAGGAGTTCAGGTTGGCTTCATGTCATTTTTCTCAGGCCCTCCCATTATGGTGGGCTGTAGTGGATACGAGCGTGTGCTCTGGAGTCAAACAGTTCTGGGCTCAGTCTGGCCCTGCCTTCCGCTAACTGTGTGACCTTGTGCAAGTTGTTTAACCTCTCTGAGCCTCTATTCCTATCTGTAAAAGAGAGTAGCCATTACTACGGTTGAATGAGTTATTACAGGTAAGATTTCTGAGCACAATGTCTGGGATGCGGGAAGCACTTAAAAGCTGTCAGCTATTGTTGCTGCTGTCATTATTTTTACTATTGTCATATTGACCTGCCAACAGGTTCACCCTATATCATGCAAAGTCCAGCTACCGCACAGCCACAGACAGCATTAGGTCCCTCCCTTAATCTCTGTCCTTTGTCCACAGGGGCATTGTCCTTGCATCACATCTGAAGCCACTGGAGCGGAAAGACAAGCTAGGAGGAAAGAGGACTGTGCCCTGGAACTGTCACACTACGCAGGGGATGACCTCCCAGGATGAAACCGTTGAAATCTCCCAGGTAGGTGAGGCCCAGGAGGCTTCTCCACCCTAAACCACTAATCCTGTTTTCTTACAACACACACTATTTCTTTGTTCCTCACGGTGAGGGTGAGTTCATCAGACGGTCAGGGTGAGTTCAACTGCACAGAACAAATCGGGAAGTTGAGCTAGACGGGTCCCTTTCGGTCAGTCCTTGGACTTGCATTCACAGATCAGAGTTGGGTTGCTCTGGGTTCTGCAGTACAATGGTCCTGTGGCAGGGTTCGGAGGGACACCCCGCCTGTCAGATCCTTAACGCTCACCTTGAGTTCTTTTTCTCTTCCGGAGGATTTCAGTCCTCTGCCCTACCTAGAGTAAACCCTGACTTACTCACACAGTCATCAGTAGAAAAATCCTGGTACAACTGAAAGTCTCAAATCATGGCCTGGGTTCTTTGGGACCCTGTCTCAGCTGAAAATGAGACCGACACAGACCGGAGCCTCCCCAGGGCTCAGAGAGCAGTAGCAGCTGAGCCAAGATGAAAAGCCACAGGCTCCCCTCACTGTCACGGTCACAGAGCAGCTGGAAGATCTCTGGACTCCCTTTTCTTCTTCTTTGGTCTAGGAAAAGATGATCCTGCAGCCGGAGACCTCAGCAGAGTTCTACCGTGATTGGAGGCGGTACTTGCAGAGTGGGCCGGAGCGCTACCAGGCCCTGCTGCAGCTTGGAGGCCCCAAACTGGGCCAGCTCTTCCACATGGATGTGGGGTTTGGACTTCTAGGGGAGCTCCTGGTGGCACTGGCTGATCACGTGAGGCCGGCTGACCGGCTGGTAGTGCTGGGCATCCTGCGCAGCCTGGCCAGCACCAGGCGCTTTGCCCTGAACCTGAGCCTGATGAGTCATGCAGAGAGAGAGAGCTGCAAAGGTTTGTTTCAGAAGCTGCAGGCCATGGGCACCCCCAGACCCACGATGGGGGGTCTCAGCCAGGAGGAGCAGGGTCTGGAGGAGCAGCCTGGTGGGCTCCAGGAGGAGGAGAGGCTCCTACAAGAGCTGCTAGAGCTGTACCAAGTGGGTTGATAGAGCCAGCTAGCTTTAGAGGCCCCCAGTGGTCACTGGATACATGTTTCGATTGTCTTGGGGGCAACTGCAGGACTGTAATAAGATGCCCACACCCACTTCCCTTCTCGACTTAGAATCTTCAGAGCAAAAGCTAGAATCGAATCTTCCCCTCTTCTCCACCCCCTCAGTGGCTCGATATTCTGAACTGTATAGATCCACAGGATGGCCAAAGGCCCAGGAAGTTAAAAGCGCTTTGCTTCCCACCCTTCGGGGCTGTCAGGCATGTAGCTTATAACCCTGAGAGATGGCCATGTGCCCAACCAAATGCTGGCTACACCTGTTACAGCCTCCACCCAAAAAAGGGAAAAAGCAAAATCATTCATCTTCCATGGTAAACAAATACTGAGCTCCATAGCTTTTTACAAGACTATTTACAACGTAAAACCAATGAATGGACATTTAATTGACAAATGGTCAAATGTTACCTTATTTGAGGTATAATATTTTCCCCTAGGGGCTGAGTTCCTGTGCAGGTTGGGTCTGGAAAAGCCCCAAGCCATCAATTTAGGTCTGGCCAGCCTCCCAGGCTTCTTCAGATGGCCAGATGGGAAGGTGGGGGTTTTCTTCAGCTCCTGGATTAACCAAAAAGGAAGACCTTTCCGCTGGGCAGGCGGGGGAAGGCCCCGAGCAGGGAGGCGGAGATTTCCCTGTCTGGCTCCTAGGCCCTTGCTCCTCATTCTGGTTTCTCCTGGTCCATTCTTGGATAAATGCCAGCATTCTAGAAAGGGGAGAGGGGGCCAGGTTCTAGAATGGTTTTTCCTAGAGATCGCATCTGTCATATTAGAAGGGCATCCTGTCCATCAGCTGGGAATAAATTGACTTGCCTTTGGCTGTTTTCCCTGCGGATTGTTGCTTCTTTTCTTGGCTGTTTAATCCTTTCCTCCTAAAGACGCCTGCCTCCTTTGGCAGTGATTTCTAGAAGTTCCACAGGCCTTTAGTGCCTTGGTTTTGCCCTGGCCCTTCTGACCCTTCCCTGCTTCCAGCATGAACCTGGTCCATACCACTGTGCTCCTGTGGGCGTGGGGGAGTCTCCAGGCCTTTGAAATTGTGGAGAAGGAGAACATTTTTCAGAGGACCCCCTGCCCTGCTTTCCTGATGTTTGACAACACAGCCTACCTGGCCGACATGAGCTTCGAGCTGCCCTGCCACTGTAAGCCCGAGGAGGTGTCTGCTGTAGTCTGGTACTATCAAAAGCACCTCGGCAGCAGCCACACCAAAGTTCTGACGGACTTTGATGGGCGGGTGCTGACGGAGGCAGCCCAGGTGCGGGCGGGCAGTGACCTGCTGGTCCGCTTCAGCATTCGCATGTTCAGCCTGTTGGTTTTCCGGGCCCAGCCCGAGGACTCAGGCTTGTATTTCTGTGGCACCCGCGAGGGGGACTACTTCTATGCCTACGATGTGGACATCCAGAGCAGCGAGGGAATGGTGGCCACCTTCAAGGACCTGGGCCAGGAGCCCTTCGCAGACGAGTACCAAGGGAGCCTCCACGTCTTCACCACCTTCTGGGAGTGGACCCCCTGTGACCGCTGCGGGGTGCGAGGGGAGCAGTGGCGCATTGGCCTCTGCTACCTGCAGAGCCCAGACCTCTCCCCACGCTACCGGCAGACGCTGCCAGACGTGGTGTCCTGTGGTTCACGGGCCGTGCCAAAGAAGCTTCAGGCCAAGGCCAAAGACCACACACCGGAGCTGCTGGTTCAGAGCTGCATGGTGCCCTGCAGGGAGACGCCGCCGCCCCATGGGGGCGTGATGGCCATTTTCAGCTATCTGTCCAAAGCGGGCAGCCGGCCCTGGGTGCCCCAGGTGCCCATTCAGTACCACCAGCAAAGGCTGGGTCACGGACTCATCATCTCCTGTCCGGGGGCCCGGCCGGAGCACGCCGTGGCCTGGGACAAGGACCACCAGAACTTCTATCGCACACAGTACTTGAAGGGCGTCAACAGGTCCATGAGGGTGTTCATCGACCATGGCAACCATCTCCACATCCGCTTCACCCAGCTGGACGACAGGGGCATCTACTATTGCTGGCGGCAGGGCGTGCGGGTCGCTGGGTTCCGGCTGGGCGTGATAGCTCGAGGGCACTACAAGGTCTCTCTCTCAGACCCCGAGGTCCGCTCCGCTGTGGAGCTCACCCTAATAGGGTACCTGCTCATCACGGCAGCCTTCGTCTCCATTCACCTTTGTCGCTGCTGCTGTTCCTTATTTCGCTGTTATCCCGGCTCCTCTCCCTAGGCCCTCTCTTCCCCATCTCTGAAGACCAGTCGTGCGCTCAAATGTGTTTGTTAAGTGATTTCAGATGCCTCTGGGTGGGCCTCCTGGGCTGGGACGTGGGGCAGGAGGGTATGGACACCTTCGTTAGTTACAGCCTGCTCCCCCCAATTTCATGGGCACGCCTGGGGCCTGCGCTGGGAAGCGGGGAAGCCTGAGGCAGGCGGGAGATGGGGGACCGAGGCTAGGATGGAAGTGGCCCAGGTGCACGTCCTCTGACTTCAGCAGATCCGAGGATGAGGGGAACCTAAGGTGTATCAGACGGCCTATGGGGCAGTAAACAGTGTTTGAGGTGCTTTATTTTCCCGCCTTCGAGGATTGCCAAGCAGGCGCGGGTTGAATAGGGGGTGGCAGGGAGAGGAAGGAAGGAAGGAAGGAAGGAATGCAGAGGGGGGCGCCTCCCGTAGGTTCCCGCTGCCTTCCTCCGAGTCCCATCCTTGGACTGGCTGGTAGGAATGGCAGGTTTGGGAATGACGGTAGACCAGAACAGGGGAAATGGGTGAGGAAAACGGAGGGCAAATTCAGGGACTTCCTGAGACACTGTACCCATGCTGGGGGTTGGGGGTGAGAAGAGGGGCTCGGAGCAAGGCGGGGGAGGGGTGGGGGCACCAGGACCCTCATGGTGGAGCAAGGCTGGAGGTGGGATTTGTGCTGTGGCTGCTGCTGTGAGTGGCTGGTCGGGGGTGGAGGGGAGTTCCAGAGACGATCAGTAACAAGAAGCCAGTTGGGTCTTGTCCAAGGCCACTGGCTGCCCCCTCCCCCAGCCCCAACTCCTCCTGCACAGATCAGAGTCCACTCTGGGGGAGGCACAGCGGTGGGCTTTATTTACCTCGGTAACTACAGGCAGCAGGGTGCCCTGAAGGTTAGCATCAGTCAGGGGTAGGACGGCATCAAAGAAAGGACATCAAAGAAAGGGCGCCAAGTCTTGGAAAGAGGGAGCGATTCCCACTTCTCCCTCCCTTCGGCCTCAGAGGGTGGAGGGGGACCCTGGAGTGAGTCCTTTCGGTCCGGTCCGTTTCTGGGCACAGATAATCCCATGCCCCCCGCCCCTGCACAGTCCTCCCACGGAAAGCAGAGCAGATGCTCTGGGTGAAAGCGTCTGCCCCGCCCCCGCTCTCCAGGCTGTAGGAACACAAACTAGGGTCTTCGCTCTGCTCATGCCTCCATTTCCAGAATTATAAAATAGAGTGCTACCTAGAATACTGGGGAACACTTTGTATTTGAGTGAGAAGGGGCCATGGGATCCTTGCTTTAGGGAAGAGCATTAGGCCACTGTGGGTGCAGAGAGGCAGAAGTGTTAGGCTGGCTTTACCCAGCAGCGTCTGCTGGGGTTGGGAGGCGGCAGCAGCAGGGACTCAGAGGCCTGGGTGGACAGGGATTATGCAGCAAGGAAGGGGCCTTTAGAACTGGTACCAAGAGTGCCCTACCCCTGTGGACAGCAGCTCCTTTCTCTCCTATTTCGGTATCTTCATGAGGATGAGTCACTTCCTTGATTCCCATGACCCAGAGGTCAAGTGTAACTGGTCATCCACACCCCCAACACTGACGTCTAGCATCATCCCACTGCCGCCTCCACCACCTCTACCTGCCCCCGCCCCCACCACGGCCGCTGGGGAAAGTCCTCCTGGGTGTGACCCTCTGTACTGACGCCCCTCTACTCCTTCTCAGCACGTCTTCCCTCTTCACTTATACTAAGATCCCCTAGTGCTGAGAATCAAGCTGCCCCCGGCCCACAGGGCAGCTCAGTGAGGCCGAGACACCTGGAATCATCAGTCAGGAGGCCCCTCTGGAATCTGGGCAGGCCAGGAAGTCTGCTGAGGACTCCAGGTGGCAGAATGCGCCCCCCGCCCCCGGCCACTCTCAGGCTGGCCAGGGTCCCTCCACATTAAGATGAGCCTCTGGCCAGGGCTACCTTGCCTGCAGGGACTTCCCCTTCCTGTCTCAGCATCTCCTCCGTTTAGCTCCAGCAGCCTGAGGAAAGTCCAAGACCCACCTCCCAGAAAGCCCAGAGACCGCCAACACTGGCAACAGTTGCCATGACAAACAGGGATTAGGCTAAAGAGGGTGATTTATTAGGTCTCTAGGCCCTCCCCAACTTCTCCTCTCCTAATTCTAACTGAAGCTCTGGCCATGCCCCTCCAGGCTGCGGGGCGAGTGCCCTGTTAGGTGGAGTTGCTGGGAGTGGGCTGGGTGTCGCCTGGCAGGCCTAATGCTGATGGATCCTAGGGCGAAAGCTGGCAGAGAGCCTAGTGGAGAGGGGAGCAGCTGCGGGGCGGGGGCGCAGCGCGGCTCAGGTGTGGGAAATTAGCTATCGGAGGAGGGGCAGGTATCCGGCTCCCACTGCAGGCTCCTTCCACCTTGGGGCCGGGGCCACCAAGTGGTTCCCGCCTCACATCGCATCCTTATGCTCCTGCTTGGACTCCTTAATGACCTGCAAGGGGCAGAGAAGTTGCACAGTGCCACAGTTAGGAGCTCACACAGACCCTGGGCCAGGCCATGTGACCTTGGGCGAGTCCCCAGCCTTCCTGGGTCGTTCTTTTCAATGAAAGTAACCAGAACTCTCTCCTGCAGCAGTCAGAGCAGGGAATGAGATCACACCTGTAAATCATTGAGCACCATGTCTGGCACATGGCGAGCTGATGATGTAAAATTAGCTAGTACTGTTACTGGTGTGATGGGGAATGGGTTATGCCAAATCCCCTTTTCCCATTCCTCTGGCCGGTTCCTGTAACCAAGCTGGGAATGGAACATTGGAAGTGAAAACTTCTAACTTGAAATTTTCTCTCCCCCCCAGGCCTGGCACAAGGGTTACCTACGTCAAGACAGAAAAGGAGGAAGCCCAAATCAGGACCCCATCCAGTGGCCTGGGCATCCAGGCTCCTCTTAGAGCTGTGGGTGCAGGAGCTGTGGAATTGACTTACACCCGGGTTCCTTCTTCCTTCCAGAGCCTCCCCAGGCAGCCCTTGTGAGCTATCAAGACCCTTCTATGTGCCAGTTCAGGCTTTATTCCAGAGCCTGGCCTCCAGAATCTGAGCCTGATGGGACCAGAATCTCAGGCCTCCCCTTCTTACCTCTCCATCCCGCATCTCCACGGTCTTCACCACGATGTTTCTTTTGAGGTGGCCTTCTGACATGGACTTGGTGTCCAGGCTAGTTTCTGTGGGTGTGAGGAGAGGAGGCCTTCTGCGGGCTCTGGGGGGGCGCTAGACATCCTCTGCCTCCCTTGGCTTCCTATCACACCCAGATTGCCAGTTCGAAAGCCTATCCAACCAGGCAGGGAGGGCCTAGGCTCTTTCAAAGGGGCTGGCAACTCCCAAGTCCCCACTGTGTTGGGCAAGTCCTGGCTACTCTCTCCACTGCACTGTTGCTCTCCTGGTCTGGCTGCATTTCAGTCCCTTCGCAAGCCCTTGCCTGGCACCCAGCTTTCTGACAACCCAGCACTATGCTGTGGAAGGAGCACATGGGCTTTGAAACCAGGCAGGCCAGAGTTTGAGTCCCAGCTCAGCCACTGACCAGCCACATGACTGTAAGCAAGTCAATTTACCTCTCCCAGCCTCAGTTTTCTCATCTGTAAAATGGGGATGATGGAGCCTGCTTGTCTAGGTGGGAGTGAGGAGTCAGTTAATGAAATAATGTATGTGAAGCAATTGGGTCAATACATGTGGGCCCCTATCCCTCTTCCCCCTCCCTACTTCTCGCTACCGCTTCTCTGGGCCCTAATAACCCTTTACTGTCTGGGGCTTGTCAGTATTACCTCTAGCTAGTGCCCCTGGTTAACCTGTCTGACGCTGAACTAAGCCCTGGGACACACATATCTAGTATTCCTGAATTTCTAGGTCAGAAAAAGAATTCCCCACCCCCCATAGCTGATAATCATCTGAGAGCCACATACAAGTAAGAAGTAATTTAGTTTATGCCCCCCTCAGAGAGAAAAATATAACATGTCAACCTCACTAATATTTAAAATTAAGAGCAGGGAACATAAAGCTTTATTCACTACAAGAAAAGCAGTCCAGGGGGAAATAATCCTCTGGGCTGAATCAGCGCCAGGCTGAGCCACGGAGCCTCAGGGACTGGGACAGGCAGAGCAAGCAGAGAGCTCAGCCACTGGGCACAGCGAGACCTTAGGGGTCCTCTCAGTGATGGGGAACAGGTGAGGCGGAGGCTGGCATTTGCTCAGAGACCCCAGAGCACCCGAGGACACAGCACCCTGAATGCCAGCCAGCTCTGCTAGGTGAACTGACGTTCACCCCTGTGCCAGGTCCTGGGCTGGGTGCTGAGGCTGCTGGGAAGAAGACACAGGCTGCCCTGTTGGGGAACCCTGGGAGGAGGGGGCCCAAGAGGATGGGGAGCTTGGGCTTGGTGAGGCTCCCTCCCTGCCAAGTGGAGAAAAGCGCCGTGTCTGCGTGTCTGCGTCTGCGAGGCAGGCAGCTAACCGAGAGCCGGCGGGGCTCCATTTACAGCCTGCTGAGCCTGAACTGGTATAACTTGTACTGTGAGGCTTTTGAGATGTCTTGTGACCTTGTGACCTTCCCCTTCCTTGGTGCTTTTGCCCCCTGCAGTGACAAGCAGTTAAAAAAAACAAACAAACAAACATAAAACACTCAGATGAGCAGAGCTGGCTCAGGGATCTGTGGACAGGCTGAGACCCTCATCCAGTTCTGCGGTGGAATGGGGTACGGGGGAGGCGTGGGACACAGGGCGGAGCAGGACAAGGGTGGCTCCGAGCCCCGCCGGAAGTGCCCTGGGAAGGTGTATTCTGGCCAGAAGCTCTGCAGTGAATCGTGAAGGCCCTCGAGGAGGGCCCCTGGCCAGAGCGGCAGCCCACAGGCTAGGGGAGGGGCAGAACCCCCGGACCCTCGCCCCGCGTCCTGCTCTACTGACCTCGGATCTGCAGGTTGGAGAAGGTCTGCACAGGAATGGTGATACTGAAAGACAGCAGAGAGAGGGGGTGACCCGGCTGCCCAAGGACTCCCCAGGTCCAGTCCTGGTCCAGGGTTATCCCGAAGAGCGCACTTCCTAGCTTCCCTCAGCAGCCAGCACGCTGGAGCTGCCAGCATGAGAGGGGCCCGGGCGCTATCCATGAATATCTCGGCCTGATGGGAAGTCTGGGCTCGGAAGATGGCAGAGGGGAGGGAAGAGTGGCAAAGAAAGTTCTGAGGAAACAGAAAAGATCGACGTGGGGACAAGAGGTCCAATTTTTGTTGGGATGGTGGGGGATGAGGCTTTCAGGTTAAGGGAGGTGACTCAAGTCCTTGCCTGGGACCTAATCAACATTGGTTGAATTGAATCCATCCATCCATCCATCCATCCATCCATTGATCAAACATTTACTGAAGGCCTTACTGTGTGTTAGGCGAGCGCGGTGCTGGGCACTGGGATAGCAGGGGGCCGCCCACAGGCTAAGTAAGTCCCTTAAGAGGACAAAGCGACTCTAGGGAGGAGCAGCAGGGCGGATTCCCAGGGCTGCGGTCGGGGCTCACCGGTTCTCCTCGCCCTCCAGCAGCTTCCTATACGTGGCGATCTCGATGTCCAGCGCCAGCTTGATGTTGAGCAGGTCCTGGTACTCCTGCAGGTGACGGGCCATCTCGTCCTTGAGGGTCTGCCCCTCCTCCTCCAGCCGGGCCAGCGCCTCCTGATAGCTGGCTGCCTCGCGTGCGTGGCGCTCCTCCTGCTCCCGCATCTGCCTCTCCAGGGACTCGTTCTGCAGAGTGGAGCCAGTGCGTCCCGTCCCTCGAGGCACCGTCACGCCCTCGGACCAGACCAACTCCAGGGGGCTTTGAGGCCCCGCCCACGCTCGGGCCCCGCCCCCAGTCCTGGGGTCGCCCTGGGTCCCTCTCCTCCAGCATCCCCTTTGGTGGCCTGTCCCCTCCTCCCAGCTCGCCGCTCCGTCCACGCACCCTGGGCTCTGTGCCCGCTCACCGTGCCGCGCAGGGATTCCAAGTCGCAGGTCAAAGCCTGCAGCTGGCGCCGGTAGTCGTTGGCCTCGTGCTTGGCCTGGCGGAGCAGCTCCGCGTTGCGGGCAGCGGCGTCGGTTAGGTCCACAAACTATTGATAAATGGGGAAAGTGCCCCATGCTGAAGGGCTGGTTGAAGCCACATACAGGGAGCTGCGTGGGAAGGTGTGGGTTCTGGGAAATCAGGGAGGAGGGCAGGACACCCGGGTTGTGGTCCAGGCCACCCCAGGACACTGGCCCTGGGTGGGATTATTCCCAGGGAGTGTGACCCATGGTTGGGGGACACAGAAGCCACTGCTGGGTCTTCAGACACCATATTTGGGTGCCCCTCATATCTTCCTGGTCAGACATGTCTCTGTAGCCTGGGCAGTGTCCCGCATGCATGCAGTAGATGCTCAGTAACCCAGGACACAGATGGCGGAGGCATCAAGAATGCAGGCCGTCAAGTGAGACGGGAGGGTTGGAAATCTAGCTCTACCGGTGAGAAGCTGTGTGACTTTGAGCTAATCAGTTAACCTTTCTGGACTTCAGTTCTCTCATCTACTAAAGGACAGCCCCTACTTCACAGTAAGATAGTCTATGCAGAGCACAGGCTTGGCACACAACAGCTGTCTAATAATAACAGTGATAATAGCGGCAGCAGCAGCAATAAGTTCTGATTGGAAGTAATATTGCCTGTGTGCCCCTGGGTAAGTCACCTCACTTCTCTGTTGAATGTCCATCACCTAGAGAGGATCCTCTCCCAGCTTCCTCCCCGCTCCTTTCCCAGTTCTCTTGTATGGAGCCAGGAGGGCTGCCTGGAGGAGGCGGCCTGGCTCACAGGGCTACCTTGGACCGGTACCACTCCTCTGCCTCGTGCATGTTGCTGGACGCCATGGCCTCATACTGGGTGCGGATCTCTCTCAGGGCCGCCGTGAGGTCCGGCTTGGCCACATCCAGCTCCACATGGACCTGCTGCCGGGCCAGCTGCTCCTGGAGCTCCCGTACCTCCTGACCAGGGTGTGAAAAGGGATAGCAGGGCTCAGAGCCATGGACTCATCATGCTCTCTTCTGCCTGGCTGTTGGACACGGACGCTGCCTAAGGGAAACGAGACAGTCCTCGCTGGAGGAAGTGCGTGGCCCAGGCTGGGGGCGGCCGGGGTAGTATGGGGGCCTCCCAGGCTTGGATATGCAGGAGCACCGAACGTGCACCTGTGTCATAAGAGAGTGTTTGAGTCCCTGTGTGTGGGTGTGCCCACAGGTTCCCAGTTCCATGGGGTCATGTATGCTGAATCCATGATCTGAGGTCAGGGCTCAGTGGGATCCTTTTTGTTATGAATGTTCTCAGGTAACTGGAGAGAGATGGCAGAAGGAATGGAACCAGGGAGACTGACTATGTGACTTCAGCAAGTTCTTTAACCTCTCCGGGCTTCGGTGGCCTCTGTGAAAGGAGGTAAAACTGAAAGGGTTCCTATCTCACAGACCGTAGAGAAGGAAAATGAGGAAACAAGGTTCAGTAACTCTCATTAAGTGAGGTGTGTGTCTGTGTGCATTTCACTGGGGTGTTGGTGCTTTCTTATCTGTCTCTACCTCCGTCTCCCTCGGTTTCTCTCTGTATTGATCTCTTTTTCTCTCTGTTTTCAATTTCTCTCTCTCCCTCCCTCCCTCTCTTTGTTCCAATCTCTGTGTTGGCCTTTCCTCCCTCTGGCCCAGCTTTACCTCCTCATGGATCTTCCTCAAGAACCGGATTTCCTCCTCCAGAGACTCAATCTTTCTCTCCAGATCCAGACGGGCCAGGGTAGCTTCATCTGCCTCCTAGGGTGGGAGGGATACAAGGGGTCACTCTGACAACAGGCTCTTCCTCCCTGCTCCCTAGCCTTGTGTGCTCCCCTCCTCTAGGGTTTGGGGAGCAGCACAACACTTGGGAGGGCTGGTCTCGGGGGCTGTGTTTGGTGAGCTGTCATCGACCCTCCCCCCCTGCCCCCACACCCCACCCTTCCACTCCCTGACCTGTCGATAGGCAGCCAGGTTGTTCTCGGCCTCCAGCCTCAGGTTGGTTTCGTCCTGGAGCCTGGGGTAGGAGGACACATAGGACTCTTGGAGCCCCGTCCCAGTCTCCGTGGAGGTGGCTGCCAGAGACTCCTCGCACCCCCCACCCCAGGACTGATGGAGTGGCAGGGGGAGAGACTTGTCCAGGAGGGCGATGAGGGCCTTTGTTTTAACTCATTACTAAGGTGCCTTAGCAGGGTTGCCGTACCTGCTTCTGCTCACACAGGCGCTTCCACCCACGTACACTCACACTCACATCCCCCTGCACTTGAGGGCACACCCACGTGCCCAGCTGGCTCAGCAAAGCGCCCTGCCCCCCCGGGTGTCCCATGGCCTTTGGAAATGGGTCTTACTAAGATCTCTGCGGCGCAGCTGTGCAAGCTGAGGTGCCTTGACTAGGAGCACACGCTGGTGATGGACAGAGTCCCCGGGTTCTGAAACCAGGACTTCCTGCTCTTCCCCGCACTCTCCGGTCCTCCCCGTGTACCCCAGGCTTCCCTTCCAATCCCTCCTTATACAGACCCAGGCTCAGAACAGGCGCCCCCTGCCCACAGCCACAGGGCCCCACAGGGAGCGAAACATGCAGGCCCTGTCTGCTGGGGTCCCTGACCGCTCTAGCACAGACTTCCCCAGCGGGAGGTGTGGAGAGGGCCCTTTTCCCTGGCAGAATGTCTATGGGAAACAGATCCCTGAGACTCTGGGCCTTCTCCCAGCCCCTCCCAATGTTTGGGGGGCAGGGACAGCCCTCCCTTCCCAGTGAGCAGGGAGGCAGGGTCCCAGGGCCTGAGGCCCTGCAGGCCTGCGGGCACTTCCTCTTGGGGGCTCAGTCCTCCCCGCACACAAGACCCCTCTCCCAGTAGGCCCTTACTTCTGCCTCAGGGTGCCCAGGTCCTGCGCCAGGTTGTCCCTCTCGACCTCGAGCCGGGCGCTGTTGGCGGTGAGTTGATCAAGCCGCAGCCGCAGCTCGCGCAGCTCAGCCTGGTAGACGTCAGCCAGCTTGGTCGGCTCCTTGGCCCGCAGCTGGTTCAGCTCCGCAGCCAGTGCCTTGTTCTGCTGTTCCAGGAAGCGCACCTTCTCGATGTAGCTGGCGAAGCGATCATTGAGCTCCATCATCTCTGCCCGCTCACTGGCGCGCGTCTCCTTGAAGCCAGCATTGAGTGCCCCAGCTAGGGAGAAGTCCACCCTGGCTGGGAGTGGGGGTGGCATTCGAGCCAGGGAGAGGCGAACGCCGGGACCCAGGCCCAGGCGGCGGCTGGGAGTCAGGCCGCCCGCCACCGTCTCGAAGGAGGACATATAGGAGCGGCAGGCAGCTGAGGCGACCCTTTTCCTCTCCATCCTGGCTCGGCTCTGCTCACTCCTGGGATGTGAGGGCTTTATGGAGGAGTGGGCCGGCCTGGCTCTGCCCAGAGTGTCCCTGGAAACACCCCCTGGCATAGCCTGAGGGGGTGGGACTGGGCCGCAGCCCAGCCATGAGAGCTCCTCTCACCCCACCGAGGTCATTGTGCCCAGAAGCAGGGCCCCCTTGGCGTGCCAGCTCCAGTCTGGCCCCAGACAGACGTACTGGTGGGCGGTGCCTAGGGCCGGATGCTGGGTCTGAGGCCCGATCGCTGGCCTAGGAGACCCTCTCCCTAGGAAGGTGGGTCCAGAAAGGGTTGGAGTCCTGCCTGGGGTGGCTCAGTTGGTTGGGTGTCATCCTGCAAAGTGAAAGGTCGCTGGTTCAACTCTCGGTCGAGGCACATGCCTAGGTTGCAGGTTCAGTCCCTAGTCAGGGCACGTGCAAGAAGCAACCGATGATGTTTCCCTCTTTTTCCCTCCCCGCCCTCCTCCATCTCTCTCTAAAAAAATAAAAATAAATATTTTTTTAAAAAAGAAAGAAAGGAAGGAAGAGCTGGACCAGGTGACCTCTGATCTGCCTTCTGACTCTTAGATCCCATAACCCAGGCCTTCCCTCTCACAGCACTTGTCCTGTGGGGTGCTGGGAACTTGTCAAAGAACAAACTGTTCCAGACCGCTAGGGAACAGCTATGTTGTAGTTTCCTGCCGCGCCCAATTGCCAACAGATTGCGGGAGTCCTTCTCTCTGAATACGGGCACCCTGCGTGCCTGCTTATTCCTTGTTCCCTGGAGTTCTGGGGCTGCGGGATGGAACAGACACCAGCCCTTTGTCTGGTAAATTGTGGCCTCTATCTAACAGTGGGGAGGTGATTAAGGAACTCAGTAGGGCAAGAGGGGGCAGGCGCTGCACTCCTTGGCCCTTTCTGGGGCTCCTCTTAAGCCCCTGCTGCAGTCTCACTGGGCTCACCCTTCCTTGCCCAGCCTCCCTGCACCCCCGCCCAGGGCCCGGGGCCTGACAACTCCACAAAGCAGTTATGGATGAGCTGGCTGTCCCTACTCCCATCTTTGTTTCTGCAGTACCCTGTTTCCCTGGCCACCCCTCACCGCATTCTCACACTGGAAATTTATCTCCTCCGAGTTCCCACACATTAGGTTGCGAAGACGGGAAAGGCCTCTGGGGATGGGTGGGTTTGGGAGCTCATGAGCCCCTGCTTCCCCAGGGCCTGCGCCCTGTTGCGCCTTGAGACTTCAGAGCCATATACCCCTTTTACTCTGGGCCCTGAAGGGTCAGCAGCGCCCCAACCAGGACCCCCACCCATCTGTGCCCTCGGACTTCTGGGAAGTGGGCAGCCTTCCTCTCCCCACCCCTACTCTACCCACTGCCCATGCCTGGGCCTCTGATCCTTTTTCCTGGGCACTTGCTGAATGGAGCCTTGTTCCCCACCCGCCGGTCAGGGCGCCACACAGTGCGGGCAGCCCCCAGGGGGCTATGCTCTTTTTATTCCAGGATGTCAGGCTGTTAGGCGGGAGGCCGCCCAAGCCCCCCGCTCAAAGAGCTTCTCGGAAAGCATCTGATGGGGGCTGGAGTCAGCACAGAGTAGGCTCTGTGCCCGCCCCCGACCATTGTGTCTGTGCCAAGGTGAGTCATTCAGTGGGCATGAGGGGAAGGCCCTGGGGGGCGGCCAGCACAGCCCTGCCAGGTCTCTAGTCTGCAGGCAAGGCCCGGCTGCTTCCCCTCTGCAGCTCTCCGAGGCGGCCCAGGCCCCCGCGCTCCAGACCAGGCGATGCCCTTGCCCCGTGCTGAAGAGGCTCTTCACTTGAGCACGCTATGGGCTGCCTGCTGGGGTTTCCCCTGCAAGTCCCAGCACAGAGAGCAGAGATCAGACTTTCTAAGTCTTAGCCACTTCTGACGTCAGAGCCTGAGCAGTTTCATGGGGAGGGAATCCTGAAGACGAGGTGCTCAGTGACTTTTGATCCTGTTGTGGGTGGGGTAGCTGGGGAAGGACAAAGCTCATTAAAAGAAGAGCAAGACTGAGGACAAAACCTTGTCCCGACTCTCCTCTCTGTCGCCAGGAGTGGCTGCTTTTCCAGCTTCCAGGCCAGTCACAGTGTATGGTCTCCAGTTTTTGTTCAAGTGAAGTCTAGTTGGAGCACCAAGCAGCCCTGGAGGGTAAAGATGTAACAGGATCGGGAAGTGCTTGCCAGTCGGTGACGCGCAGTGAATTGTACCTGTGTGTGTGAGACACAGCAGTATTTCAGCGGCAGCAGGTGGAGGCTCCACCTTCACTCACTTCAGTCAGCTCCCTGGGCCCCTGTCATAGACCCAGGCCTCCTGCTCCATCTTCAACCCCCATGTGATCCTCAGACCCACCCCTGCACTCAGGCCTTACCTGTCTAAAGATGTCCCCACAGAGAACCGAGGAGGGAGATAGGCTTGGTCACGGCTGTGTGCCCAGCTTGCAGCATTTGTATTATATATTCATTGGCGAGAAAGCAGAAAACACAGACACACACACACACACACACACGCAAATTGAATTCATCCTAATTTTGCCACCTGGAGGTTTTTCCCCCCACGCATATAAATTCATGTTTTCACAATTGAGCTCATGCTGTACAAATTATTTTGTAATTTGCTTTTTTTACTCAACAATATGTTATGAACATCTTTCCATATCAATAAATATTTGTCTACATCATCATTTTAACAGCTACATGGTTTTCCTCTGTGTGCATTGATTTAATCAAGCCCTACTGTTAATAATTATGTCCTCTCCCTCTCTGTTCTAGATTTCACCATGATGCGCTTTCGCCCCGGGCGGACCGAGCCCTCCGCCTCCACGGCTGTGCGTCCTCCTGGCCAAGTTCAGGCCCCGTCTGCGCGGCGCTTCCTCTGCCGCCGCCCTAACCCGTGGGCCTCAGCATCTGGAGCCTCAGGCCAACCCCTAGGCCAGCTTCCTCACTAGGCAGCAGAGAGCTGGGCCGCGGGGAGGGGATGCTTGGACGCCCCTCCACAGGGCCTGCGGCCAGGCCGTGCCCCACTTCAAGCCGCGGTAGAGAGACAGGATGACCTCCTTCCCCCTGCGCCCCCTCCCCTGCGTCAGAATCAGCCAGGATGCCCATCTGCCTACAGGCCCAAATGCCTCTCAGGACAGACCCACGCCACACCTGGCCTCGACCCATCCACGAGGTGCCTGGCATTTTCCAGGTTTGCTAGCCTCTAATTCGAGAGGCCGTTCTGCCGTAGACTGCTGCCCGCTGGCTCTGCTTGAGCCCCTACCCCTCTCCCTGTGCCTGGCGCAGCATGGTGGGCAGCAAGCGAGCGGGGAACGAAGAAACCAGGGGTCTCCCTGGCTGACTCCTTGTGCACCACTCAGTCTGTCCACCCCCTGGCCGGTCCCTGAGGAAGGGAGCCGGGCTGTTGTGGCCACTAGATGGCAGTGCTCAACTGCCCAGACTCTGCCGGCTGTTGTCTGGCGCAGCCGTTCAGAGGCAGGGAGCCAGCTGTCCTGGGGCAAGGGCAGGCTTCCCCAAAGCCAAATTTGTGCCACCCCGGGGCATCACCCCCTTTATTTTCCAGGGTTGCCTCCGGCTGCTGTGGCAATGCCCTCTGAGGGAAAGAGGAAGGCTGTGGCCACTCCATAGCTGTATGATCTTGGCTGACTTCAGGAACCTTCTCTGGAGCCTCCTTTCCCACATCTGTAAAAAGGAGGACTAGCCATACTTACTCACAAGGTAGTTGTGAGGATAAAATCAGTGCGAGCCGGATGCCGCAGCCGCTTGACAAATCATAGCTCCCATTTCATAACACCTGCCGGTGCTTTACCTAGCTCTGCGTTAGCACATTCGTGATGGAGTGGGCCCAGAGTGGAACCAGACCCGCGGTGGGTGGGGGTGGGGGTGCAGGCTGCCATGTCCTGCAGGCAGTTAGTTGGCATTGTGGACAGGACGCAGGGGGCAGCAGCCAGTGAGGAGAGGGTGGTGTCCGCACCATTTGCCCCTAGACCCCTAGTTGTTTGTGGTTTTGGCCTTGCCAGGCGGCACGTGAAAGTTATCTCCAACTGCCCAGGAGGGACTCAGAGTAGAGGCTGTTTCGGGCCTGCTTTCTTGCCTCTCCAACTCCTCCATCCTTGCCCTTCCCCAGCCCAAGACCAGAGGCCCCAACTCCATCTGGTCTGAGACATTCTTGGAACATCGTCTCCCTCAGGTGTGCGTCCCTCCCATACCTCAGCCCGAGGCTTCCTAAGGGAGAGGGCCCACGTCTTCTCCCATGGATGGGGGCTTCCCAATGCCAGGACCTATCTTTCACCAGACTGGGGTCACCCTGAGTGTAAGGTCTGTTTGGCCCCCCTGCAGACTAAGGCACCGCCAGGACAGGAGCCACCCCTTCCCCTCGGGTGGGAACTCCCTGATAGGAGAACCCATGGTTCGCTGCCAGCTGGCTGCCCCTGGAGGCCAGGGCTTATCGCCTTCCAGTTGGGGGACAGCTGCCCCAGGCCAGGTAGGCCCCTCTGCCAGCCACAGCCTGTGCCCAGCCAGCCAGCCAGCCTGCCAGCTTCTGCTGGTTAGCAGCGCCGAACTCCTGCGGTTGTACTCCTGGCTGAACCCCCGGTTTCCTTCCCCTTCCTCTTTCCTGTTCCACCTCAGCATGTAGTCACCTTCACAGACACGGGTGCCAGGCTGCTTCGTTGGGGTTAATAGGCTCGGGCTCTGCCTTTCCCCGCTTCTCCTCCCACCAGCCAGGGCCCCGCTCCAGCCTCCCCCCACCTCTCAGCCTCTCACCCTGAGACCCGCTTTTTAATTGCTTTCCCAGATCTGCTCCGCTCTCCTCCATCTCCCTGCCTGGCTGCGCCCCTCTGGGAGGGTGAGAGGCGGGACCAGATGTGTCCCTGGCGGGAGGACAGGGCTGGCGCGCAGCCTGTTATTTCCGATTCAGTGGTCCTCCAAATGGACAGGGGGAGCCAGGGAACGGTGGCGGGCGGGCTGTGGGTGAGCTGGGAAACAGATCCAGTCTCCAGGTCCCTGGGGCGACTCTGGTCCTTCTATCCCCAAAACCCCCATCTTAACCGCCCCCCCCCACCCCGGGGCCTTCTCCACAAAAGGACCATGGAGAAGGGGAAGGCGGCCATGAACTCGATTTTGTCTGGGAGCCAGGACCCCCCCCCCCAAACTTAGCCAAGAGCCAAAGGGACATTCCTGGGGACAGAGGGGCAGAGGTCTGGGAGGCAGGACTCCTGAGCTAGTGGCTGCTAAGGAGGCTCCCATGTGGTGATGAGGTCCGCCGTGGGGGGCAAGCTGACTGGAGGCCCAGAGAAGGCCCAGTCCCCTCCCCATGACAGGTCACTCTAAGGTGACAGGGATAGGTGCTACTCTGATATTCTGCACGAAGGGACCATGTCATGTCCTCTGCATCTGGCACTCCTGGCATCGAGCCTGGTTCTCTGAGGGGGCAGGAGTTTGTACCCTAGAGTGGGGTCTGCACCTGAGCTGTGGGGCCCGAGGTGGCCGTGAAGGGCCTGGGAAGAGAGTACTTCTAACCCCCCCGAAGCGGAGTTAGGGGCTCTGCACAGATCACCCAGGCAGAAGAGGCAGGGTGAAGCAGGGAGAAGGGCCTCAGAGCAGGCCGGACCCGCAGGGATAGGGGAGCCATCGATTGCCACGTCTTGCAGATGGCTCTTTCTGCAAGAACAATCCAATCTTAGACTCTAGTCCCCGCCCAGAGGTCGGCCGAGAGCTGCCAGCTCACTGCCCGCCTCAGTCCCTGCCAGCTTCCGGTGAACTGGGACCAGCCAGGCTGCCTTCTGGCCAGGGGGCCTGTCAGCCTGACCTCCTGTGATTGAGGGCGGGAGCCACACGTGCCTAACTCCATCGGCAGAGTCTTTGTACACTTAACGGGTCACCCGAGAGCACATTTTGCACCGCGGAGCCACAAATGTTTGCTGAGTGGTTGACCATCTGCAGAACATCCTTGTCTGGGCTGACCTCTTCCACTTGTGTGGGCTGCCCCCCGCCCACGTGAATCCTGCCTCATGCAATGGACTCTCTTGTGCAGAGCTGGCCCTCCTGGCCCTAGTTGCCAGCTGCCTTGCCCTGTGCCTGCTGCCTCTGCACTTGCAGGGGCGATGGCGAGGATCAAATAAGATAATGTATGTGAAGGCCCCAGGAAATGGGAAGTTACTCGATTTGAATCCAACCAGCACTCAGCAAGGCCTCCTAAGGTCACGGCACCACACCAGGCCGCCGGGGGCTGCAGATGCGAAGCTGAGGCTGCTCCTGTGGGAATCGTGGTACATGGGAGAGAAAACCTCATTAAGACTAATTGGAGAGGAGGAAACCCCAGGCATGCAGCAAGAAAGGATGCTGTTCACTTCTGAAGGGAAGCAGCTCGGTGCCACGCAGAGGACCAGGCCTCGGTTTGAATCCCGACGCTGCCACTTGCTGTCTTAACTCTGGACATGTTTTGCTTGACTTTTGGAGCCTGTTTCCTCATTAGGCCTCGTAAGATCGCGAAGTTTTGTGGAGATGCCTGCAGCTGGCAGGACCTCAGGGCCCTGCTTTGCGTCCTCTCTGCTCCTCCAAAGAGGAGTCAGAACTGAGCGGGGAAAGGCTCGCTCACCGGGCAGAAGGGGAGGTCGCTGCTGCAGCAGAGCGAGGGCTCCTCTGAAATGAGCCGCATTATTTACACGCCACTCCCAACGTGTTAAAAACCTTTAGCGTGTTTGTTTTCAGAAGTGAGTTAAACATAGACTTCCGTAATTTTGTTTACACTATTAATTCATGCGGACAGCCACGCCCCCTGGACAGAGGCAAACTCGTGTTGAACTGTCACAGTCCAAATGAGCAAAAAGGACAGCCAACAATGGAGGCAGGAAGTGGGGCTTTGGGGGGAAAGTGGGAGGAAGGTTGCCCTGGGTTCAAGCCTGTTGGGGCTTCGCCTGGAGCCTCACCTAAGAGCTGGGGACCACTTACCCCAACCCCCAGGGCTGGCAGGGCTCCTAGCAATGCCCGCCCGCACCGCAGGCGGCCAGGCCATGCTTCCAGGTGCAACTGTTCCTTCGCCTGCTCAGCAGCAGACCTGAGGCTGCAGGGGAGACACGGGGAAATGTTTCCTATTCTCCAAAGTGTCTTGAGGTCTTAAAGAGTGTGAAGGTGAGAAAGAGAAGGTGTATAGCCATCCCACTTGGGTGCAAAGAGAGAAACAGACACCAAGGATAGAGATGGTAGATCAATTATTGTAATAAAAATATATATCTATATCTACATGTATATATGCAGAGATAAAGGATCAGAGGATATACACCCAAGTAGTCACAGCTTTTATATCTAGGTGCTAGTATTAAGGCTGAACTTCCCTTTTTTCTTCACACTTTTTTTTACACTGAGTGCGAGGCCTGTTGACAATAGGGTAGAAACAGAGGAGCCGTCCCCACTTGAAATCGAGACACCATCGTCTGCATCGTCACCAGGACTGTAGCTTCTGCTCCAGGCAGGGGGGATGGGGCTGAAGATGTCCCTGCCTCGAAAACCAGGGAGAGCCAAGCTGGGGCCCCCCACCTGGCCCCCTCCTCATCCTCATCCCTCCTCCACTACCATGAGTGTGCCATGCAGCACCCTTTCCTAGCCTGGGGGAAGGGAACGAAGCCCCCCAGCCGCCCGCCTGCAGGGAGGGTGTCATAAGCCAGGGGGGACGATGGATGGCAGCACCCTTTAAAATAGCAACACATTAACACTCTCAAATGCATATATACATGCTGAGAAGCTGAGTGTAACAAGAGATTAATAAAGAGGGCGAGTAGCAGAGTGAGTGCCTGGGAGAGAGGTGTTAATAAAGGAAGAGGGTGTTGGCATTGATCGCTCCAAGCAGAGGAAGGCAGGCCGGGGCTCCGGGTGTCGGTGGCTCCAGGATCCTGGAGGGGCCGGTGGTCAGGACACCTTGGCTACGCAGTTCCCAGCTGACAGCACTCCCCTGACCCTGATCTGTTCCCTCTGGCTCCGCAGGCTGCCAGGGCAGTGGGCACTGAAGGGGAGCTCTGCAGGCCAGCTGGAGGGGGCTGTGGGGAGCAGGGAGGAAGGAGGAAAGTAAGGCTGTGTCCCACGGTTCTCCTCCATCTCCCGCCTCTCTCATCAGGGTCCCCGAGATGCCTGGGAGCACCCTTGGGCCCTTGGGCCTCAGCCCGCCCTGTCCCTTCCTACTTCCTTTTTCATCTGTCTTGGTGGCCCAGACCATCCCTGTTCCCAGTCACCTGGGGTTGCAAGGGACTCAGCCGGCCTCTTCAAGGTGCTGCTGGGGAGGCGGGCAATGCGGCTGCGGCGGGAGACTGAGGAGCTGAGGAGAGGAAGGAGGGGAGGTAGAAAGGTCACAGCCGCACCCCTGGACTACATACAGGTGGGCATGGTGGGCGGACATAGACACCAGGCCTTGAGCACCAACAAGTCCTTCCAAGGCTAGATCTGAGGGTGGGAGAGGTGGGGGCAGGGAGCTCCATGGGGTTTGGGAGGGAAGAAGGGGTGAGGGGGTGGGTAGCCCATTCCCTGGACTAACCATTTGAACACTGACTGTCTCCCTCATGAAGAAGGGGCTTTTGGCCTTTAACCAAAGAACAGAGATGCCCTTCACCTCTAGAGTAATCCGGTACCAGCAAGGGAGCCTCAGTCAGACCACCGGACGCTGGCCTCGCTCACAGGACTCCCACTACTGGCTCCACGGAAACCACTGCTCTATCCCCCAGAGATACATGGGGCCTGCGGTGGGCCCGGGCGTCCACTGCCCTGGTGAAAGCTTCCCGCCCCGCATGGCTCCCCAACCTCACCTCACCACATGCCTCTTCTTGCAGGCTGAGGTCTCAGGGAAGGACGAGGCTGCCTTGGGGCCCTTCACGGTGAACAGGGCCGCGGGTCCACTGGGGGAGGGAGAAAGATGGAGGGAGGCCAATTAAGAGGGAACCAGAAGTGGGTGCCAGCGCCCCCTCCCTCCAGCTCTGGCTTGTGGGGTGGGAGGTTAGACAGGATGGCCTCTGAGGTTCCTTCCTACTAAGAGGTGATTCTTCTCCCTGCCTCACTTGGCCTGAGCTGACAGCTGAGTGATGGCCTGTTCTGGGAGAACATCCAGGTGTCAGTTTCTGGTATGTCCAGGGAACTGGAGTTCAAAGAATTTCACCCTTCCACCTGCCCGCTTGGAGCTTGTTACTGAGAGATGGTTTGGGCTACGGGGGAAGCGGGGTGTGGGGGGCAGACTGCTGCCCTTGGCCTCACAAGTCCAGGTCGGTCTGCCACTTGTTCCTGGCCTTGGGCTGTCCTGAGATGGTTGCTGCTCCCCTGGCCTGACATGTGGGTGGAGGGTGGGGTAAGAGCTTTCTCTTCTCACTGAAAAATGCTGAATCGAGTTTTCTGAGGATCCCCTTCCCATTCCGGATGCTAGATTAGAGGGTAAGCTCTGGGGGCGGCAGTGGCAGACACAGAACCTTAATCAGGGCAAAGGACCCAAACGATGCAGAGGGACAGGGAGGGGGGGCGGGGCTGTCCTCTTGAATTCCTGCTGACCTTCCCCAGGTGGGGCTCCCATTTGTAGCTACTCGTGGGCGTGCCACAAACCAGCACTGCTGGTGGCTTTGAAGCAGAAAGACAAGGCAGGGCCCCTGGGAGTAGCAACTGGGTCTGGGGAGTGACCGATCAGGCCGAAAGGAAAGAGACAGCTAATGCCTAGGTCCCAAGAGCTCCAGGTGGCGCCACTGTCCCTCGCTGGCCTCCAGCTCCTTGCTGGGAGCGGGGGAAGGCAGGAAGGGGCACCCACCTGGGGAGGAAGGGCTGATCCAGAGTGTTGTGGGGCGCGTTTTCCCAGCCAGTGCATTCGCGGAAACCCAGCTTTGAGGGGGGCTCCTCGGAGAGATCAAAGGTGGCGTTGAGGTCCCGAGCAGGCAGGGACAGAGGGGTGGAGCAGTTCTGCAGAGCCAAAGAGCCCAGAGGCACCCGGCTTTTGATGACTGTGGCCGGGCAGAAGCGAGGGGAGTGGCAGGGAGAAGAGACCCTCCCCGCTTTGGGGGTGGTGGGTCCGACTGAAGGCTGAGCCTCAGGCAGGGACCCCCTTCTCAAGCAGGGCAGGAAGGACTGGCGCTGGCGCTTGGTCCCCGGCTTTGGGGCTGGGGGACCATCTTCCTCTGAGGGGCTCAGTCTCCTCCTTTTCTTCTTGGGCTGCAGAGATGCCTGGGCTGAGGCGCAGTCAGGCCCCGGGGAGATCCCCAGGCTGTGCATGAGGCCGCTCCGTCGCCTTGCCATGGTCCGCGTCACAGGGCCAGAGTATCCCGGAGGCTCTGGGTATTGAGAAGGGATCAGGGACTGAGCTGAAGAAAGGAAAGTTTCTAGAATTTGGGGAGAGAGCCACGAGAGACACGCGGGAGTCCCTAACCCCTCAGTTCTGTCGTGACTCCTGGGGCCTCTCTGTGCGCCCCATGATCCTGGGGTCCTGTTCCGGCACCTGGGGCCCCAGCTAACCCCCGGCACTGGCTGGGCTTTGGAGTTGGCACCATTAGGCAGAGGCAGGGCAGGGACGAGACTCACCTGATTCTGAACACAGCACCTGAGCCAGAGGTGCCCCCCTGGCTGGGCCAGAAGCCCCTGAGGCCTCTGTTCCAGGCCCAGCTCTTCCCTCTTGCACCAGCTGCTGTAGGGTCTCAAACTCTGCAATCATGTCGGGGGTCAGGAGGTTGGCTGCTTGGAGCAGAGAGTACTGCCGCTGTGCCAGACACAGCACCTTCAGCGCCAGCCTGGAACAGAGGGGAGGTGATTGGGCCTACTCAGACCTGCCGGCCAGGGTCCTCTCTGCCACGCCCTGGGCGTGGTTAGGAGCCCATGTGGGCTGGCCTCCTGCCCTCCCAGCCATGGCTCCTGCTCTGCTGCACCCTCGCTGAAGACTATGGTTGGCAGGGATGGTCACAGGCCATGGTGGGAGGCTTTACCTGGTAAACATGCCTCCCTACAAAGGCAGTGACCGGGGAAGTAGGGAAAGGGTGCCCAGTGGCCTCGGACTTGGAAGGTCTGACTTCCCGCTCAGCTCTGCCACCTATGAGTGCCGTGATCTTGGCAATGAAAGGCAGCAGGGGAGAGCCGGGCTCGAGCCAAGCTTGGCCAGGCTACCGGCTCAAATGCCTGTCCCGACACTTCTCAGCTGCTGAGCTTGGATCGCTGTGTGTCCTCAGCCTCCCCACCCTTTCAATGGGGAAGCGAGTGCACCCACCGCGTCAGGTTGCTGGGAAGGCGAAATGAGTTATTTTATACAGAGAGTGTTTAAAGAGTACCTGGCACACAGTGAGCCCTGTAAGGTTAGCTAACTATTGTCTTCTGTAAAATAGAAATTATGCCATCTACCTGGTTAGGACAAGAGGAGATTAAATAAGGTGGGCAGTGTGACCTTGGTTCTGAGAGGACCCTCAAAAATGCCTTCAGTGTGCGCTTTCTATTTAATGGCTGGGACCCTGAAAGAGCGTGTGTGAATCAGTGCACACTTCACAGGCACTGAGGGGCTATTTAAGGGAAATTATGAGGGTAATGCGATTATTGATGTTGTAAATTTAGATTCTAATAAAGCAAATTTCCTTTCTGTCAGGCACACCTACGATAAAGGAAAAAACACAATTATCTCAGTGGGGATTATTCACGGCCAGTAATTTATCCTCAGGTAGCCTAATCTACTACCCGCCCAGATGCCCCTGAGCCCCCTCCTCCGCCCTCACTGTGTGCACAGGGAACCCAAGCTCATTTTCTAAAGCAGCCTCCAGGCCTTTTCCAAAGAAGACAGGATATAAATAAAAAAGGACACAGCAGAAACTCATTCTATGTCTGCCTGAGCCACACACATAAAGATTAGACTACTAGGGACAGCGGGCGTTGAGGATAAATGCATCGGCCTGGAAGCCAGATGACCGGCTCTGGCCCCACCGCTCGCTGCAGCCCTGTGGCCCCGGGCAAGCGCCTCTGTACCCGTCTGACAGGTGGAGACGCAGTCCGTATCGGGGATTTTGAAATTAGGTTTGAAGAAACCCATCCGAGGACATTTTAAATGGAGAAGCTCTGCGTTATCTGTTCTCTACATTAGACTTCAGCCTAAGTTCATTTGAAGAAATGGACTTTGCAGCAAAAATAAAAAAATAAAATTAAAAAAAAATTCTGATAACCAGTGAACTGGAAAATCTAAGATTGACTCAGTACCCTGGTGGTCTCAGATTCCGAAGTCTGAAGCCAAAGAGAAATTACTTTCAATTATCTGGTTGCTAGGGTGTTTCTGAGTATGGAGATGATCTAGAATGTTCTGTGACCCCTAATACTTAGGGTTTTCTGTCACATTTGATTAGTACTTCAGCTCAAAAGAAGTAGGGAGAGTAAGTCGGGCTGTGATCCCCAGATCATAGCCAAGGCGGAAGCAGCTTGTCAGAGGCCACAAAATGAGACGCACAGCAGAAACGAGAACCCTGGCATCCTTTCGCCTTGCAACGGAGGACACCAGGCAGAGAGACCTTAAGTCACACGTGGGAGCCTGTGGTTGTTCCCTGGGCTCCAGGGGGACATCCTGCCCGTGCATCACTGCCACAGCTGCGCCCCAGGGATCGGCCGCAGGAGACAAATAATAAGCTGCTGATTATTCAGGCTGCAGGATTTTTGCTGAGTTGGGACCAGACACTCCCCAACAAGAAACAAAATTAAACAGGCCCTTCTGTCCTGTAGCTTTAAATACACTGCCTGGTGTGAAGCATGCTGGAGAGGGTGGGGTGAGGTCAGCAGCCCAGAGCTAAGTGGCAGGGGATTTATATTCTGGGGACCACAGGAAAAAAATATTAGCGGCACCTCTCCATAAAGCACAGAAAGAATGGTCCAAAATCTATTTCTCTCTGGCTGTGCGTGGTGGTTTGTATTTACTTCTGAGAAGAAACTGCTACTGCCAATCTGTTGATGAAGACATGGTAAACCCCTGGCTCGGGAAGTTTGTCCCTTCCTCAGCCTGCCACCTGACTTCCCGTGGCTGCTCCCTCCTTGCTGAGGATGAGCAGCTTGGCCCTCAGACTAGAAAATAAAGGACTAGCCCAGGTGGCCCTACCCTAACTCAGTGCTTGCCAGCTACCTCGATGGAATTTGGTGTTTTGCTTCCCTTCTGTGGGGCTGCCAGCTATGTGGTGGAATACAGAGAGAGATGATAAATACATAGAGTAGGTGATAATATCAAGTTGTTAAAAGCAGATAACAGCCCTGGCCAGGTGGCTCAGTTGGTTGGAGCATTGTCCCATACACCAGAAGGGTTCAGGTTCAATCCCCAGTCAGGGCACGTACAGAAGGCAACCGATCAATGCTTCTCTCCCACATCAGTGTTTCTCTCTCTCTCTTCCTTCCCCTCTCTCTAAAAATATATATATATATATTTATATTTATATATATTTATCCATCCATCCTCAGATGAGGATTAAAAAAGAAAAAGCAGATAACGAGATAGTGGACAGTGGTGAAAAAGACTTGACCCTTAGCTAGAGCAGAACCAGAGCTTCTGTGACTTGGCATGAACTCCTACCCCAGGAAGCTGGAATCCATCACCTCATCCTTGGACCCCAGAGACTAGTAAGACACCTACTGCTTAGAATGGTCCCTTTCCAGGTTCTGTGGTGAGAGGTGGCCTGCGACATGCTTGGGCTCCAGGATCAGGCCAGGGGACTCCAGCAGTGGCTTAGGATGGTCCCTTTCCAGGTTCTGTGGTGAGAGGTGGCCTGCGACATGCTTGGGCTCCAGGATCAGGCCAGGGGACTCCGGCAGTGACTGTCGGAGGCTCTGTTCTGGCACCTGGATTGGAAGCTAAAAAGGAAGAACATCACAGGTAGAGGGCCCAGGAAAACCTGCCTCCCTGTGTAAGCAGCCGCTAAAACATTTCCCTCCTCCAAGTGTGGGAGTGACAGCTCCCGGAGTGGCCAGGCCTTTGTAGGGGCTTCCTTCCTCCAGTCCCCATCCTCCCTCCCCGCTCCCCTGCTGGTAACGCACGCCCCTCATTCCCAGACACTCAGGATCTGACAGAATAGTTCTCCTTCCTGCACAGGATCTGAAAGCCTCCTAATGACTAAAATATGACATCCAGCTAGAAAACCTGGGACTGAAGGGACTCCAAGAGTTGGGAAGGACATTTCTTCTTCCACCAGCTCTAAGTCCTACCTCCAGGGCCGGGCCTTTGTCCTTGTCCTCTGGGGGCTGCTCCTGGTCCAAAGAGTTCCCTTCCATGGCTCTCCTGACCTGGGCCTCTGCCCCGAGGCTCTCTGCTGGAAGGACCGCAGGCCGTGGGTGGAGCTCCGGGGTGCAGGGCTGGCTGGGAAGGAGGGATGGTGGGGGGGAGTTGGAAACGCTAAGGGGGGAAATGAGGAGCTTTAGGGGCGGGAAGTAGGTGGCGGAAGCAAGGAGAGGGCCGGTGGGACAGAGCCCATAAGAATGGATGCTTGGGTAACAGGTAGGCAGTAGCTGGAGGTGAGGGGAGGGAGAAGGAGTCAGAAATTTTCTAGTTTAGGACACAATGACACCCATCTCTTAACCGCACCTTCTTTTGAATAGCAGATGATCCTTATATGGGCTGGGGTGTCATTTGCTCACTCGACACAGAGTATTCTAAGTGCCAATCACTGTGCTGGGCACAGGGTGGGAACCCCTAACCTTAGGTGTCAGAAGAGAAGCTGGAGAAAGGGGTCTTTCTCTGCCAAGCTGGAGGGTGGGGTAGGTACGGGCCACAGGACTCACAGTTGTTGTGGAGGGACCGATTTGGGGGGCTGTGGAAGGTCCTCTTGTGGGGCCTGGGCTCCCGCCTCATATGCTCGGAGCTTCTCCTTCAGGGTGGCCACCTGGAACCGAAACAGCCAGTTCTCCAGAGCCCCAGGTGAGCAGAGGAGGTGGGGGCTGCCCCATCCCCAGGCACAGACCCCTGGCCGCACCTGTCGCTTGCTCTCCTGCCCCACCCCCCCAAGCCGGGGTGCCCTGCCTCCCAGCCACGCTCCCCAGGTGGGCTCCTCACCTCAGCCTGGAGCTGCTGGCAGATGGTGGCGTACTGGCTGATGTGGCAGTCCAGGCTGACCACATTGCTCTTCAGCTGAGATGGGAACACAGGGGAGAGATGTCTGTTCACTCAAAGTAGCTTAAGCAACCCCTTCAAAAGGCATTGCACTAGGCACCTCGCACGTATTCCTGCGACTCACGCCCACGACTGGGGAAATGGACCTGGGAAGCTCTGGGGCTTGCCTGCGCCCACAGCAGAGGCTGCCTTTGAACCCGAGGCCCCTGACTGCCTGACTAATGCACTCCCGCTGGGCCAGGGGCTGTCCAGCAGCAGCTGCAGGAGAGCCAGGCCTCCCTGGAGGAGGCAGCGGAAACCAGAGCGGCTCTGCTCTCATCTGTGTTACATGCTGGTGCGGTGCTGTTTTGCTGCTAAAAGCAAGCCTGAAAGTGATCGCTCACAAAGATCCCTCGGCCACCCCCTCCTGCTGCCTCCCTCCTGAGATGACTCTGCCCCAGTGATCCAACGCTGTGTTTTACTCTTTTTCCAAGTCTTGGAGGCCATCCTGCCTCTCCCGATCTGCAGCCTTCCCAAGGACAGGCACTGCGTCCCTTCTACCACAGTTTCCCTGAAGACAGAGGCTAGGGAATAGCTTCCCTCTGCCTTGTGGGAATACGTGCCCCACGCACTGGAGAAAGTGCGTGGGTATTGACCCTCCCCCCAGCCTGGGGCTCCCCCACACCCGCGGGCACACACCGCGAGTCTGATCTCCTTGGCCCGGTCGGCGTACTTGAGGGTGTTGTAAGTGTCCTCATACGTCAGGCTGGAGGGGCTGACGGCAGCGATCATCACCGTGCGGCAGTTGCCCCCGATGGAGTCCTTGAGCAGGCGGGTCAGTTTGCTGTCCCGGTAAGGCACATGAGACTTGCGACCCTGGGGGGCAGCGAGCAGGCCTGGGGTGAGGCGGCTGGACTAGACAGGCCCATGCTGGAACCCGGCAGCCTCTGGCCCAGGGCTGAGAGGAGGCACCCTTAGCTTCGGGCACTCCGTGGCCGCCCCGTGGGGCTTTACCTTCGCGTCAGCCAGGGCGTTGAGGACGTTGATGAGGGCCAGCAGAGAGCGGTTGATGTTGGCGCCCTCCCGCAGCCGCTCCCCCTTGGCGTGGGTGCTGGATGCCCGCTCCGAGCCAGCCAGGTCAATCAGGCTCATCTTGGCCACCCGAAGGGCCTGGGTCAGACCTGGGACCCGGTCCTGCTGCTTCACGAAGATCTGCGAGCAGAGGGCGGGGTGAGCCAGCACTGGGCTTCAGGGGCCCCATCTTTAGGCTCCAACCCCTGACCCCCTCACCTGGAAGATGGCATGGGAGCGGGAGGACGTAGCGTTGGCATCTGTGGGGTGCTGCGTGCGGTTGCGGTTCCCCCTGGTCAGCATCTCCAGCAGCTGCTCAGCTGAGGTTGGCTGCAGAGGAGATGGCCAGGAGGGACCTGTGGTTTCCCCCGCCAGGACATTCCCCAACGGCAGGGCTCTCTTCAGAACCCACGTCCCCAGCGTTGCCATGGGATACGGGGCATCCCCAAACCACCAGGTGCGGAAACCCTGGAGGGCCAATGAGACGGCTCGTGCACCCGCGCCCAGCCACACACCTGGTGGAAGGAAAGTCCTTGTACGACCACCCCCTTGTCGGGGTCCTCGCGGATGGCAAGGGGTCCCTTGGGCTCCAGGAGGTCGTGGATCTGCTCATTGTACACCTGAGGAGAAGGGGAGCGAGGGAGGGCTCTGAGGGACAGAGCCCATCAAGAAACCTCTCCCCTGGGGCTGGGAGGGCTCAGCTGCTGGGCAGGAAACATGACCAGACACCACCACATGAGTGGCACTTTGAGGATGATGTTAAGTGACAAGAGCCGATTTAGTTCACATGCAGCCTCTACCTGAGCTGTTTTTGCCCCCTGGGCTCTGACTGGGCCCCCATCTGCCCGCTTCCTCCCGCCTTCTCCCCTGCTCCCTACTCCACGCTGCTCCCTTCGGGGGTGGTCGTGAGGATGAGGGATGGGGCTGCGCGGTCACAGGCGTGACAGCCCTACCTCCTGGTAGCTGATGAGCACCTCAAATCGCTTCTCCTCCTGGCAGGCCTCCAGCCGCCTGTACAGCTCCATGGTGGTCAGATACATGATGCCGGGGTCACCCTCTCTTCCCAGCATGGTGTGCGTCTTTCCTGCCCCCGTGGCCCCATAGGCAAACACTGCAGAGGACAGAGTGGGGAGTCGGGTGGGGGCGGGGTCAGGCCCCCTCCTCTGGCGGCTCCCCCTGTGCACTTGCCCCCCGCCACTGCCCCGCTCACCCTCCTCTCCCCAGGCCCCTTCCTGTGCCTTCCATCTGCACAGTCCCACTGCCCCCGCCCGCTCACACCCCCCACATCTGCAATGCGGCTTCAGTTCTCCCGGTCGATGTGCCACTGGCTTTCCTGCAGGTCTGCGGGTTCGCGGGCACAGGGGTCTCCGTGGTGGGTGGGGCACCTCCCTTCCCCAGGGGCGCCTTCTCCAGCCTGGGTAGCTCCCTCTGTTGACGGCCCCTGGCTCTTTCCCTCGTATCACTGACCTCGGTTTATAATAAGCACACACTTGTGTGTGTGATTTTGACTAGTGCCTTCCTTCCCCGCCCCCCCTGCCAGGCTGTGAGTTTCAAGGGGACAGAAACCATGTCTGTCTGATCTGCTGCCATATCCCAGGGCCCAGGAGAGTGCCTCCCACACAGGAGAAGAGTGAAGGGGGACCCGCAGGGAATGCAAGGGCCGGAGCCTCCTCAGCAAGTGCCCAGCAGAGCGGAAGGTGGGCACCTGTCAGAAGACACGTAAAAGCGCAAGAAGCAGGGAGGCAGGGTGGCCACCAACCAGAGCCTTCCTCCTCATTGTCCAGATTCTCACCTGAGCAGTTGTAGCCCTGGAGGAAGCTGTCCAGGATGCTATGGGTGGTGTGCTGGAACACGTCCTGTTGGGTGGCCAGCTCGCCAAAGACCCGGTCAAAGACAAACGTCAGGTCTTTGCCCTTCTTCTTGGGGCCCTCGTGGATGCCGCCCCATTTCAGGCCAAGGAAGCCCCCATCGGGCTCCTCAGGGTCAAACACCAGCACGCGCTCGTCCACCACCTGAATCACAGGCCGCCGCTGGCTCTCCAGCTCCCGTGGGGTGGGCGGCCGCACCCGGACCACAACCCGCACCTTGCTGTCCTCCACCGCCATCACCATGGCAACACCTGGGCAGAGACAGAGCGGAAATGGGGACTAATCTGACCCCAGGATTGCCCAGGGGCCCCCTCAGCCTGGCATTCAAGGCCTCCTCCCACCCGCACCCCAACAGCTGTTCTCTGTTCCATGCCTCGAGAGAATAAGTATATTGGTGCCAACACCAATGATCAATAAATATCTCTTTCTCGCTTGAAATACCACATTTGTCATGTCCAAATGACTACTTCTTTAAAAGATTTTATTTAGTGATTTTTAGAGAGGGGAAAGGAGGGAGAAAGAGAGGGAGAGAAACATCAATATGCAGTTGTATTTCGTGCACCCCCTGCTGAGGACCTGGCCTGCAACCGAGGCATGTGTCCTACGCTGGGAATCAAAATGGTGACCCTTCGGTTCGCAGGCCGGTGCTCAATCCACTGAGCCGCACCAGCCAGGGCCAAATGACTATTCTTTTTTTTTTTTTTTTCCCCAGAGGCCTACTACTGGGCTTTCTGTTATGTTCCACTAATCTGTCTACTCCTGCGCTAACACCATACTCTTTCCGTTCATTCCTTACCGTATGCTTTTTGTCTAGTAAGGCAAGACCCCAGCCCTGCTAGTCTTTCTTTTTCATGATTTTGTTGGTTATTCTCAGACACTTATTGTTCTATTTGACACTAAGACAATTTTTATCAATTCCATTCCCAATCCAGAACATTCCCCCATCCCCCACAAAAACCTTACTGGAATTATAATTGGAATTGTATTACATTTACATATTTATTTTATATTAAACCTCTTCATGCAAAAACATGGCTATTGCCTTTTTATTTGTTCAGATTTTTTTATGTCCCTCAATAAGATTTTATAGTTTTTTTCTCTTCAGATAGGTTCTGTAATTGCTCTTTTAATATAATTCCCAAGTACTTTATAGACTTAATCACTCTTATGAATGCAACAACTTCCCCATCTCCATTTCCAGGTGGTAATTGCAGGCGGAGAAATACGATTAATTTTTATATATGTGCCTGATGACTACCACCCTCAAACTCTCTTATTAACTCCAATAGTCTTTTTTTTGTTCTTTTTTTAATTAGGGCTTATTGGGTTTTCTGAGTATGCAATTATATATCAGAAAAGAAAAATAATTTTTTACTTTTTTTTCTATATTTATACCATATATTTTATTTCTTGTCTATTGCAAGCCCTAGAACTTCTGCAAGTCTGATTAAGAATGATGACAATGGGCATCCCTGTCTTGTTCTTGATTTTAAAGGAAATGGCTTTAGTGCTACACTATTGAGAAACTAGTTTTGGATATATAGTCATTATCTCATTATTCATCTCTTCTATTTTTCTTTTACTTAGAGTTGTTATTAGGAAGGTCTAAAGTTTTACTTAATGCTCTTTCAGCATCTCCTGACATGTGTTTCTTCTCCTTTATTTTGTTGATATGGTTAATTATTTGATATTATTCCTGGTATTAAACCAACCATGCATTCTTAGAAAAAAATACTACCTTGACTGTACTGAAGTTTTTAATTTTTAAATGGTCAAAGGTGTCAGATTCTCTTTTATGGCTTTTATGTCATATTTAAGAAGACATTCCTTCCCCAAGGTAGTAAACACTTATATATTTTTGTCTAATACTTGTTCTTTTTTAAGTTTAGGTCTTTATACAGGTAGAATTTATTTTATTGTTAATGGTGTGAGGTTTTTAAATTTCTTTCCAAATGGTAAGCAATCATCTCAAGATCATTTATTAAATAGAGTATTCTTTCTCCAATTTCAAATGCCACATTTAACATAATTAAATTCTCCTGTGCCCTGACTGGTGTGGCTCACTGGGTTGGGTGTCGTCTTGCAAACCTAAAGGTCGCCGGTTTGGTCCCCAGTCAGGGCACATGCCTGGGTCACCATGTTGGGGGCCAGGTCCTCAGTTGGAGGCGTGTGAGAGACAACAGGTTGATGTTTCTCTCGTGTATCGGTGTTTCTCTCCCTCACTCTCCCTCTCTTCTCTCTCTAAAAATAAATAAATAAAACCTTTAAATTCTCCCATAAACATGAATTTGTTTTTAGACTCTCCATTCTGTTCTGCTGATGTGCTTATTCCTTTTCCAGTAACTCGCTGTTGTAATTACTGTGATTCGATAATATTTCACCTCATTTTTCTTTTTCATGACTATTCTTGGGCATCTTATCTGGCATATGACTTTAGAATCAGTTTACAGAATTCTATGAAAAATCCTGCAAAGATTTTAATTGGGAGTATTTTGAATTTATAGGTTAACGTTGGGAGAATTGGCATCTTTATAATATCAAGTCTTCCCATCTAGGAACATAGTATCTCTCCATTATTCACAACTTTATAATCCTTAGTAAAATTTTATAGTTTTCTTCACTTGGGTTTTGTATATTTCTTGATAGGCTTATTACTAGTTATTGTATAGTCTTTATTATATTGCGAATAGGCTCTTTTTATTTATTTATTTTTAAAAAAGTTTTATTTACTTATTTTTAGAGAGAGGGGAAAGGAGGGAGAAAGAGAGGAAGAGAAACATCGATGTGCAAGAGACACACTGATTGGTTGGTTGACTCTTGCATATCCCCCAAATGAGGTCCTGGCCCACAACCCAGGCATTTGCCCTGACTGGGAATCGAACCAGCAACCTTTTGGTTCGCAGGTCCGCGCTCACAGTCTACTGAGCCACACCAGCCAGGGCAAATAGGCTCTTTTTAAAATTGCATTTTCTAATTCATTTTTGTCCGCATATAGGAAAGCTACTGATTTCTGTATGCAGATCTTGTATCTGGCCACAGTCCTGAACTCCCTTATTAGTTCCAATAGGCTGTCATTGATTCTCTTAGGTTTTTCAATTAAATGATGGTATAGTTTGCAAATAATGACAGTTACTTTCTATTTTTAGCTCTTCTATATTTAGTTCCTCACCCTTGACTCTCCATTAGGGATGGGCATTCAATTTTATCAGCCACTTTTTGGGCACTGAGATGATCACACCGAGTTCCTCCTTTGATGTGTTAATGCGGAGGGCGGCAGGGGCAGGTTCCCTAACGTTGACCTGGCAATAATTCCCAGCACTGATTTGCTTATTCCTGCTTGCAGTCCCCTCAGACCTCTCCTTGTTTTTTTTCATTTCTCCTTCAAGCCAGCCTACCAAGGGTAGAGATGGAATTTCGGGAATGCAGGAGTCACAGGTGTGCAGGAAAAGTTCAACCCAACCCTAGGGACGCATTCACAGGGGTAAGGAAGAGGGGCTGCTCCTGGGGGACCCGAACAGATGAGTGACAAAGGCCCACTAACAGGACCAAGGTCATTCAGCAAAAAAACAAACAAACAAAAACACACACACACACAAAAAAAACCTTCTACCTAATACTCCAGCAAACAACTCCTGTTTTCTTTTGGGAATGAAGTAGAAGGGAGCTGATATGAAACTCCTGTCCCCCACGTCCAAACTTAATTTCTCCCTACACAAACAAGATGGCAACCCATAATAATCTTTTTACATGTGTATAATTTTTTTCTGGTTCCAGCAACTGGACTGCAACTGCTTACTTATTATGTGAGGGACTGTTTGAAGCACCTCCCGAGTATGGTCTCCTTTCATTTCCATGGCAATCCCACAAGACAGACACTCTTCATGGACAAAGCCAAAGTGGATTTGAGGGTGGGAGGTGAGGGTGGGTGGGGCAGGGGAAAGTGGTGGCGGGAAAATGGAGACAAATGTCTTTGAACAATAAAAAAAAAGAAAGAAAGAAAAGACAGATACTATTATCATACGCATCTTTCAATGAGAAAATTGAGACAGAGAGGGTTAAGCAACTTGCGACCCCCACGCTAGCGATGAAGCCTGGCTGCAGCCCCCAGTCTGACTGCGGGCCCGTGCACTGCCTTCCAGCGAGTGATATTATATATTATGCTTTCGTGATCCCATTGTTGTAATAGTCCCTTATGTTTTTTAATAATTATAATCTCTTTTATATAACTAGCATAATGTAGTCTGCGAACACTTTCAGATCTATGGACTGTACCTAATTTTCAACACTCAAGAGTTCCTGTCTCCCACATTCCCGTTCCCATCCCCAGGGAACGAGGCTCTTGTGAGGCCAAGCACCCTCTGGGTGAAGGCAGAGGGTGCTGGGCCCCACAGCCCGGGTCTGCATTGGCTGACTTAATGGCAGTCCCAGCTCCCCCACAGGGAAGGCTTCAGCTGAGGAGGAGCGACAGAGCAGCCTAACATTCTAAGCAGGAAATTAAAAAGGGCACTGGCAGCGGAGTGTGTGTAACCTTTACAGTTCTCTCCTCTCCGCCTCCTGAGGGCCAGTGAAGCAGACTGTTTGCCTAATGAGATGTTTTCCTTCTTCCTGAAACCACACTGGGGGAATGGGGTGGGGGTAGGGGTGACACTTGGCATGGCTGCCGCTGGGATGCCTGGGTCCTGTTCTCTGCTCGGCATTGGACTGGCAGGAGGTCTTCCAACCAGCCACATCACTTCGGTGCACCAGCCTCCCCGCTTTGAGAGCCAGAGAGAACAGCTACAGATCTGCTCCCGCCCCAGGGGGATGGGGAGATTAATGAGAGAACGTTTGTCAAGTTTGCTTTGATCCTCAGTTGGAAAGAGCATTTTAGCCCAAAGTACGGGGGAGATGATTCTTTAATAAGATCTTCAGGGTTCTGAGCCAGCCACAGCCACGTCCTGTTTCTAACCCAGGGCAGCTCATTAAAACCCAGAGGCTAGTTCACTGCTGAGCTGAGGCTGGGAAGCCAAGATTCAGTTGTTTTTGGGGTAGCTTTCTCTGCTCATCCTCAGAGGGGGAGGTAGACGAGACCAGCTCTTCAGAAGCCACTGGAGAAGAATTTCTGAGGACTTGAGGGGATCTGCCTACAGACGGCAGCTACAGAGTGGGAGCTGGGAGAGCAGGCGGTGCCCAGACCTGGGATGTTCTGTTTCTTTCGGGACTGCTGTTGTCCCCTTCATGGCTCCTTCAGAGCTCTC